AAAAAAAAATAAAGTAAAAAGGACTGGGGATGTGGCTCAGCAGTTAAGGGCCTCTGGGTTCAATTTCTGGTACTACAGAGAGACAAAGACAGAGACAGGGCCCTAATCATCCCTGGTCAGGTCACCCCTGCCCTCTGAGCCTGAGTTCCAGCCAGGGGCATGCTTGTCTTCCTATGTGCATCCTGCAGGCAGTAGAGTGAAAAGAAAAGCTCCGCGTGGGATAGTTGTCCCTGCCAGGAACAGTGGAGGGACATGACCACAAGATATCGACAGCAACTTTTCTCTCCAAGACCCCTTGACCTACAGTGCACCCCAAGGAAGAGTGGATCAGAACCTTCAACCCTGGTGCCGGCTGGGGATTCTTCCGCGGCCCTCTTTCGAGWTCAGAGCCCCTGTATGGATGTCAGTGGGGTAGCGCCCAGCTGGACTCCACTAGACTCCCAACTGGATCTCACAGGGGTRAGGTTCACCAATGACCTCCAGGAAAACCCTTACAAACGTCAGGCCAGGGCACCCTCAGCTGGACAGCCATGGGAATCAGCCAGAGACATCTCCAGGTGGCCTCCCATGAGGGTCAGGTGTGTTCCCAGAGGATCCATGTGGACCCGCTGCGGTGGTTGCTGCTGTCCGTGGTGGTACTACCTAAGTGCCCTGCCCAGTCTGAAGAGATAGGTGCTGGGAATGCACACGCTRAGGCCCCAGGGGATGCCCAGGGGATCCCAGGCGCAGCGCGGAGGCACTCATCGAGGTCCCCACACCCTCCTCATGCCCCGTAGTCGTGGGGTCCAGCCGGGGCCCTCCCCTGCTTGCCACGTGCGGTCTGATGGGTCGTCCAGCGTGCCCTCTGGCTGGGCTGGGTCCTTAGGGACGCGCTCGCGCTCCAGCGCACCCACTGCAGTCCCTGGTAGGGTGTTGTCCAGGTCAGRGCTGGTGGGGCGCGGCGTCCAGGGTGGCCCCAGCGTGGGTCGCGGCGGAAACCAGGAGAAGCCSGGCTCAGGGGCCAGAGCCACCAGCTGCGGCCGCACGGGACCGGCGGAGGCAGCGTGAGGGATGAGGAAGAAGATGTAGACGCCGGAGACCACGAGGCCCGCGGCCACCAGCACGGCCAGCGCAACGGCCGCGTTGAAGACCCAGGCCGGGCTGCTCAGCGTCAGGCGGCGCGACAGCGGGCGGCCGAGGCGCAGAGGCGGCGGCGGGGGAGCGCGCGCGGCGCGGCTCTTGCGTGGCCGGGGCGGCGGCCGCAGGTAGAGCAGCCCGCGGCGGCGGTCGAAGCGCACGGAGCCCTGGTGCGGTGGCGGCGCGCGCGCGTCGCGGGGCAGCAAGCCAGGCTGCGTGGGCAAGGCGGGCAGCCCTCCGCGCGGCGCCAGGCGCGTGGGCGCGCGGCACACGGGACAGGCCACCGCGTCGCCGCCGCCCGCCGTGGCCAGCGACAGGCGCGCCAGGCACTCSAGGCAGAAGATGTGGCCGCAGTCCAGGCGCTTGGGCAGCTTGAACACGCCGTCGAAGGGCGACACACAGATGAGGCACTCCATGGGAGACGCGGGGGGCAGGATGGGGCCCGAGCTGGGGCTCCCATCGCCCTCATCCTCCTCTGCGTCCTCTTCCTCATCTCTACCTGGGAAGCGGGGCGCAGAGGGCGCACCTGGGGAGCTGGGGCCTGCACTCTGAGTCCGCAGGCGGCGGAGCCAGGGAGGCCAAGGGCAGGGCATCTGGACCCAACCTACGAGGAGAGGTGGTCAGGCGGGGAAGGGCAGCAGCGTGCAGGATGCCAGAGGGAGGACTTCCAGAAAAGGGGCTGCTCCGAGGGGGTTACCCAGAACAGGGAGGGGGGGGTTGTCAGGTTAACAGGCGCCAAGGCGTCAGGGATGGGCCCTCAGAAGGTCCAGGCAGAGACTGAAGCCACTTGTAGATCGTGTGGACTCAGTGTCTCCAGGAAGGAATAGGTGCAGGGGGCCAAGGTTAAGTGGGACTCCCAGACCTGGGAAGCAAACCTGGMACCCAAGATGCCAGGGAGGACCCACCAGAGTCAACTCCTGAGATGTGTTCAGATCAGTGAAGTATCCTGAGCCACAGGACACGGGTGAAGGGACAGCAGSAACCCTCCCTACCTTGTGATGCCTTCTCCTCTGCCTGCTGGGGGTGTCCCTCCTGTTCTGCCCAGTCTCTGGTCTGCCTGCTGTTGGGTATCTGAGTGCCCCTCCCTAGGGGAGGGTTCAGACCTGGGGCCACCCTCCACAGGTCCCACGCACCTGCTGAACTTGTCTGGCTGGCTACCCCACCCCCAAGACCAGGCCTGCCAGGAACAGCAAGCCTGACTTGGGCGGATGTTGGGGTGGTTGAATGCTGATGATACTGGGCAGGCAGGGATGCGACCACCCTTTTTCAAAACCTACCTTGGTGCCCCTGTAACCTTAGCAACTGGAGTTTGTAAGACAAGGATCCCAAGTCCCGTGTTGGCCTGAGAGTTTCAGGGGGCTGGGGACATAGGTTCCCGTGCAAGGACACAGGTTCAACCCACTGTGAAACCAAACATTCCACTATGGAACCACCAGATGAGCTGCCTGGGCAGGCTCCTGCTTCTCCTAGCACCCTGTGAGTACAGGGCCTGACCTACAGGCCACAACCCAAAGCCAGCATACACATCTAAGAGGAGGTTGGGATGACTGTGGCCCAGACAACAGACCTTCTTTACCTCTACCTGGGCATGCTTTTGGGGAGCCTGACCTCAGGATGATCCACAGGTACCCAGGTCTCCTGTCAYGGACATCCTCTCCTCATTCCCAATACCTGTTGGAACACTCTAGGGCATCTGGCCGGTGCCCTGTGACTCAGGTTTCCACAGGCTGACAAGTCATGCCAGCGCCATGAGCATCAGCATCACACAAGGCCACCCCCACAAACACAGGCAACAGATGGGTACTGCTGTCCCCAAGGGAAGACAGTTTATTGGTCAGCAGCCGGGAAATTAACGGTTGGACTTGGCCACACGCTCCAGCTCGTCTTTCTTTTTGATGGCGTAGGAGTTAGAAGAGCCCTGTGAGGAGACATCAAATTAGCTCTAGATGTTGGGAGCGCCCRACCCCTGCCCTGAGACCCACATTCCAACCCACCTTGGCAGCATTAATGAGCTCATCTGCCAGGCACTCAGCAATTGTCTTGATGTTCCGGAAGGCCGCCTCACGGGCCCCTGTGCACAGCAGCCAGATGGCCTAGAGCATAGGGGTCARATCAGGCCTATAGGACCGTGGCCCTCCAGTAACTGGGCCAATTCAGACAAGATACAGGGGGAGGTGACATCGGCTGGAAAAAACAAGTGTCCACAGACATACACAGCCAATGATAGGACTTTAGACCTGCCATAACAATGTGATGCACGCTCTTGACCTGGACCTTTGATTGACAAGGTAAAGGGCACACTGGGACAGATGAATAAATGACAGATATTGTATTGCTATTAAATTCCTCAGGAATGGAATGATGGGAACAGATAAGCCTTGCTCATAAGACACCTGCTCAAATGCTTAGGGAAAACTGTTAGAATTACTACAACTGCCTCTTACCAGGTCTAAGAGGAAACAAAAAGAAACCACCCCACACAGTGCATCTGTAGCATACACTACAATTATAGTACATTTTACACACTGTACATCAGAAACAAGATGAAACCAGACTTTGAAGGGCTCCGGGAGCCAGGATGTGCTCTGAACAGGGTGTGATTCAGGAAGCTTTCCTGGAGGAAGTGAGGCTCCAGGTAAAACATGCAAACAGGGACAACCTTTGTGCCCCAGGTAGGACTCCACCCACTCCCGGCAGCTCTTCCCATTCCACCTGCACAAGGCCAAGGGCCCAACCCCACCTGATTCACACGGCGCAGTGGGGACACGTCCACAGCCTGCCTTCTCACTGTGCCAGCTCGCCCAATGCGTGTTGAATCCTCCCGGGGGCCACTGTTGATGATGGCATTCACCAGGACCTGCAGAGGGTTCTAGTAGACAAGGGGGGCTATGAGCTCAATGTCAAGCCCCAAGTGCTCCCCCTCCCCGACCAATCCTAAAACAGGGTGACAGCCACATAGGTGACAAGCGTGGCATGCATACCAGGGCGCTTCAGCATGTGGTACAGGCAGAGCCTGCCTTGCTTGTCACAGAGTCCTACCTCACCAGTGAGCAGGTGGATGATCTCAAAGGCATGCTTGACAATGCGCACAGTCATGAGCTTCTTGCCGTTGTTGCGGCCGTGCATCATCATGGAGTTAGTGAGGCGCTCCACGATGGGGCACTGTGCTTTGCGGAAGCGCTTGGCAGCATAGCGTCCTGCACTGTGGGGCAGGTACTTGGCATACTTCTCCTTCACCGCAATGTAATCCTGAGGCAACAGGGGATGAGGAACAGTCAGGAACAGGATGGACACAGCCCAGGACCAGAGGATACCCAGTACCCAACACTGCAATCCCAGTCTGCCCCCGCCCCAGGGGATATGGATGTGAATCCAGCTTGCCCTGAAAGAGGGAAAACTACACAAGTGGATTTCCTTCCATGTAACACTTCAAGAGCACTCCATTCACAACGGAGTGAAGTCCACTGTTTGTTTTTTTTGCGACAGTGCTCCCTGAACACGGACGCTGTAGGGCAGACAATTCTCTGCTGAAACTACCACAGGATGTTCAGCAGTACCCAGTACAYTAGCAGCAACCCACTCAAAGTTTTTGTTTGTTTTGGCAGTGCTGGGATTGAACCCAGGGCATACTAGGCAGGTGCTCTACTATTCCTCTTTATTTAGACAGGGCCTCTCCAGTTACTGAGACTGGCCTCAAACTTGCAATCCTCCTGCCTCAGCCTCCYGAGTTATTGGAATTGCAGGTATGCACCACTGTAATTTTGATAACTAAAAATGTATCTAGATGTTGCTGAGTGTCATCGGAGTCAGAARCACTGTTAAAAGCCAAAATGGTAGCCTTGCACACATAAGGATGGCAGAAGGAAATTAGAGGAGTATGCAAAGTGGACTGCAGTTGATACTTCCATTACAAAATGTGTCCAAGGCCACTCTTATTATTTCCACGTGAGAACATAAATKCGAGCCCTCTACTGCTGAGCCACAACCCCAACCCCATCCCCAGTTTTTACATTTTTTAATACCTTTATTTTTATATGTGTTACTGAGGACAGAACCCAGTGCCTCACAGGTGCTAGGCAAGTGCTCTACCACTGAGCTACAACCTCAACCCTGTAGTTTTTACCTTTCTAAAGCATTGTACAAAAACAAAAAAAGTAACTGAAATCCAATGTGACTGTGAGGCATAAACATACCATCTGGTTCCTAATGAAGAAGTTTGGGCCTGTGGGGCGCTATGGTACAGCACTCGCCTATCATGCAAGAAGCCCTAGATTCCATCCCTTGCACCACAATATACAAAGCTGCCTAAGCAAACCCATGGAGGAGTGAATTGAAGCTCTCCCAGACATCCAGAATGAAAATAATCCTGTGTCCTTTAGGCACAGTACATAAGTGCTATGGCATCTTCAGAGGGAACAAAAATGCTTTAATTTCTTTTCAAACAAAAAGGAAAAAAAGTAAACACAACTCACATTTATCTTTATACAAACACACAAAATATCATTATTATTACTACTACTGTTTTATGGTGCTAGAGATTGAACCCAGCGGCACTTAACCACTGAATTACATTCTTGGCTCTTTTTTAAATTTCTTTTCTTCTTTGAGACAGGGTCTAACTAAGTTCCTTAGGGTCTCAGTTTGTTGCCGAGTCTGGCCTTGAACTTGTAATCCTCCTGCCACARCCTCCCAAGGTGCTAGGAACTACAGGCTTGCAAAATATAACCTTTAATATTAATTTTTTTAAAACACAGGAAGAGCCCTCAAAAATACAAGTTCCTAAGGTCCATGAAACTCCTGAAACAGGAAGCTATTTGAGGGCTGGGGGCATGCTCAGCAAAGTGCACACCTCTGCATCAAGGGGCAGGAGTGGCAGAAACTCTGTAAAACAGTATGAGAATAAGACAGAAGTACAAGCACTCACAATTCTTGATTTCAACATGTTACAAAGCTACAGTAATCAGGTACATAGTACTGGCATAAACATAAGATATACAAACCAACAACATAATTCAGAATCCAGAAATAAACCCATTTATTCACAGCCAACTGATTTTCAACAAGTTCACCATTCAACTGGTTAAAAAACAGTCTTAACAGATGATGTTGGATAACCAGACCATGTTAAAAAAAACCCGAGATGCTGGGTTAGGGCTATAGCTCAATGGCAGAGCACTTGCCTGGCATGTGTGAGGCACTGGGTTCAATTAGATCCTTAGCACCAATAAAATTATATAAAATAAAGACATTTTGAGCAACCCCCACCCCCCAAAAAACCACCCAGATGCTTCCACTTTAAAACAATAGAAAAATATTTTTGTGTGTATATAGTCCTAGCTGTTGAATGCAGGGCCTTGAACACATTAGGCAAGCACTCTACCACTGAGCTATAGACCCTAGACTAAATGGTAAACAGTTATGTGTATTCACTACAAAAACAACAAAATGCATGGAACAGTATATGTGATACTTCTGAAAAAGGAACCCCATATAAAACTGTACTAACCTTTAGGCAAGATATAAGAAAGAGTGGATGTGGTGATTCAGCGATCTTTTTWAAACATATTTTACTTGTAGGTGGACATAATACCTT